CAAATGTACGCCGCATCAGATGGAGAAACAATCATTCAGGATATTAATATAAAACACGCAAGGATTCCAACAGCATTATCGTGTTTTCCAATAGCGATTAATATGTTGTTAATAAAAAAAACAAAATTGAAAATATTTTGTTTCATAAATATTTATAAAATGCCAAAGATATATGAGAGAGGTCGCTTCGATTGGTAGCAAAATATTCAAGTGCACGAAGACTTAAGCAGAACAGATCTACCATCCTAAATCCAATTTTCTATCCCTCCGCCAGTGGGTCACACGAACGAGCAATACTTCTAGCACGCTATGTTCAAAACTTGCAGTACAACCAATTAGTTCCTCCTGTAAAGCTGGTTTGAAAAGATCAAGCAATGCAGTTTTTCCCATATTCGAATGATTCAGTTCAACAAAAACAAAATTAAATCCGTTTTCATTTTATAATTCTTTCAAATGATGCGACAGCAGCGCCAGTGGGATCTACAAATAGAACAACAGTCTACCCGTTGAACTGCATTAAACGCGTCCCGTGGTAGACTCCATAGTTGGTACATAAGTTTGCTTTGACGCCATTGAGTGGAACGGTTTCTAGATTCCCTAGCCAAAGGTTGAACTAAATCAATTAGTAAACAACAAATAGCCAAATGATTTGTTTATTTATGGTTTAAAATGATTAGTTTTACTGTATATTGACTTTTGTGTGTTTTTTACAACCTGTGAGATGCTATGAGGTAAACAATCCTGGTGGACTTCTACACCCCATCTAAATATTTATATTGCTTTTAATCAATTTTGACTTTCTTTTGTAGCCTTCGTTCTTTTGAATTCAGATCCTTATCACTGGCGAGTCCTAAAATTGGGAAGCAGCTGTATCATGCAGTTTATTTCATATTTTGTCTATACTTTATCTAACTCTAAATTTGCATCGAAATATATTGTTTACTTGTTTGTGTTGTACGATGTCTTATGTACAATGTTGTAATTGATAAACTTACATATGCAAGTGTAAAAACAATATTGAAAAAACACAACTAATTGGTAGATCATGGGACTATTTTGTTTGTTAACTTTAGTTCAAGAATGTTGAATAAATTCCTTACTGTATCACTAGCTTTTGTGGTGAATCTGGTTGGATCCTGGTTAACTCGAGGTGCAATATTGCCTGTGGACTAAATGATTAGAAACCCTTACAGTAAATATCTATTGAAAAAAAAACCTTCGGTATGATCAAAACTAAAAATAAGTATAAAAGAAACACATCGATACCACTGTAATGTTGATTTAAGCCTGATATTTAGATACGTTTACGTAATGTGTTAATTTGTAATGACACTGCATAGATTTAGATGTTAATACATCATTAAACACCGTATCCTGTATATCACAAGGAGATATACTAGTATAATTATTAATATAAGAAATACGCTTTATCATCTCTGACTAAACTATGTGGACGATTGAGAATGATCAGAATTGATACCTTTCTAATTACTCAAAAGAGCATCTTTTTAAAGTTAATAGAGGTTACCATGTTCAATGTTGTGATATGTTTACATAAGTTTGGCAATAAGTGAAGTCGACAGGGTTCGCGATATGAATACAATCATTGGTATTTCGAAACCAACATGAGTGATTATATAGATTTAACACTGGCAGTGAAGCACTTTTTTACTATAAAGGACCACACTTGAGTTTTTATTGACTCTAAGTATGTGAAATAAATGTTTGGTAAACAAAGTGATTACCATAGAAGTAGTGCAGTGAATATTACGGCGAAAATGGCGTTGTTTTCCCCATTGATTTTGCAGTTTAAAGAATGTATACTATAATACAAACAACTATTGAATACCAGTAGGTAATTTATGATATTTTATCGACTGATTTTCAATCGATGTTGCAGGACAAATAGAGAACAAATGGTTTTAAAACGTAGTTGTATGTTGGCGGAGATGAAGAAAGACAAAAATGGTGAGCTTCAGGCGATTTATTTTTGTCTCTCTGTCCCGAGACGAAATCTAACTTATATTCTAAGACATTGACCATATATTCTATTTATCCTGCAGATCTGAAAATCAAACATCAAAACTTCATCAGTTTTGTTGTTAAATCTTTGTTTACCTGAATTTTGCCTAACGACGTACGCCAAAATAATTGCTCTGCGATTTTATGAATTTTCGTAAATAAACTTATTCATTACAGTATTTAAAACTACTTATTTATATTTTCAAACATAATTTTATAGTAAATTCAGAAAGGAATTCTGTCAAATTAGCGCACGTGCTAAAATAAATCTGTTTTCCGAATACAGCAACTATATACGTGGCAAGTGTACTCCGACAATGGCCAATGCCAGTTGCGGGATAAAGTTTTTTTTATTGTTATGTAGTTTGATGTGAACAGTATAGGGTAATGGGGTGTTCTGGTGTTCTAGTGTTAATGTTTACCTATCAATATTGGAACTTTTCAGAGTTTTAAACAGTATAAGACCGACGAAGTTGTCAGAATTATGTCATTGATACACCAAAGCCATAGACATCACTTCATTCATTTACTTTGTGTTTGTATCTGACACAGGCGGTGAAATATCATATTGAACTCGTTTGGTCAATATTTTTCGGGCAATATTTTTACAGTAGAAACATACCCTCTTCATTGTTGTCACAGCAGCAGATCATGGCCGAGGACAACGAACTAAAAGTTGTTGTCTTACTGAAAACTTGGCATATTTCAAAACATATGAAGCGGTGTCTATAACTGCTAGATATTAAGAACATCATCCAATCAATTTCAACATAATTACACAAGCAAACGCTACGAAAAACACAATATAGCCAAAATATCAGCCGGTACAGATATCTCTCAAATGCTGTAATCATTGTGACGTCATCAGAATGTACAATATACAAAACGAATCTTTTATATGATAACCTAATTTACCATTCCACGTGGTTGCTATTTGGAGGCGGAGCATAGAAGGATGAATGACCTACATGTGCTTGTTTTAAATTCAGGTAACCGATATCCTTCATCAGGTTTTATTATCGACATTTAGAAATTCAATATCAACACTTAACACTTTCTATGTCCGCTGACTCCTCGGTGACAATAGCTTAAAGTATTCTATTTTCCTGTAATTTTATGAATTCATATCTTTTTTTTTGATGAATTACTGAAATGGTTACAAATAAAAACAACATTTTTCAGATAATTTTTTTTGAAACATTTTAATACGAATGTGTTATGTTAACTTATCTGAGAATCAATTACGCATTAAATACTGGTGTGCAAATGATGGTTGGAGATAAATCAGAGAGTTGTTTGAACTTCACATACATGTCGAGATATAGATCCGTGTGCAAGTAAGATGGCATTCACCCTAAAGGGATGATTGATTCCACAAATAGATCTGACCATCGCAACAAACTAAAATCCAAAGCATTGTGTCAGCAACCTTACTGCACTCGAAGAGGTAATTGCTTAAACAGAAACACTTCATTAAATCCTCCTTAAAAAAATCTGGATCAGTAAACTGTTATAAATTCATGCCTATGTATTCCTGGAAACTGCTCCAATACAACAGGCAAGGCTGAGAGTCGGCGCTGCCATTCGTTTTCTGAAGCTGCGAGGGAGCACATTCAACGCGCCACGGTATCCGATACAGCAGCTGTACCGTGTGATAGCGTAACTGTTTTCATTTATATCCGACTGCCGTGGACGTTACTACAATCTACGACTGGAGGTGCTTGGATAACTATTATTCTGGACATAGACTATCGCGTGTTTCGATAGATTACTAGTCATTAATCACATATTCTATTTTCCAATGGCACAATTTGTGCAATATGTTATCAACTGAAAAAGTGGACCAGGGGTTATCATACATCATTAACACCAAAATTCGAATGGTACAAATCGTGGTTTTAAAGGCTTAATGTAACGTCATACCATAATTCATAATTGTTCTGATAAAGTGTGGATTATATCGGGTTTCACGTGTGTTTTGTACAGAATGCAACAGAAGTGATACTTACAAGACGGGAATCGGATTTTAAATTACTATTTTTGGTATTGTTATTATCATGACTTTAAACTTTATAAATATAAATGAAGCAGTGACCGCTATTTGATATTTTCTCAATAGGCCGAATTTCTAGGAGTGCAATGATCAAAATGTATTATACAGAAATGTTGTTTATTGTTTAACGGTTGCTGATATTTTTACATATCTGCTATATCTGTCATGACTTATTGATCAAGTTTAACGAATAGCTTTAGAGACTGTGAGATATTTCTGTAACTGCCGAAATCTGATGTGTCGTGGTAGTAACAGATTAGATCAATTGAGTTATTGGAAAGCCATTGAGGCTCATTGAGTTACTATTAGGGATATAATACAATTGCAAATCGTTGTAGCGCAATCGTGATTGTTCAACTGGAGAAACTAGGTGGATTTGCTGACTTGATTAGTGTGACGATCTGATATTCATTTATAACAAGCGCCACCACTGAGGTTTATAATGTTAAAGAAATTACGTTTAACAATATTTTGATATTAACTTGTGAAAGAGCTCGACATAGGCAGTCCATTACGAATTGCCCTCGATATGACCCTATGTTCCACAGTGATCGTACCGTAAGTCTGATGGACATAGAACGACATTAGTCCTGCATCTGTTTGAAAAGTAATCCGGTCGCTCGTGATTTACAGAACATGATCCTACAGGCCATTTATTTTCTAGACTTTATGTGTCCGCTTGTCACAAGCTTCTTCCGTGATTTTAATGAACGTAATATCACAGTGCTGCTCTTTTAAATCGCGATTTTTGTGATTTTAACCGATATCTTTTTTATGTTCGACTGATTACAAAACAAAAAAATGTGGATTCAATCTTATTTAATTTAATTTTTCAAGACTTTTGTATTGTATTTTAACTGCTTTAACAGATTTTTATACTTCAAATAAAACATTTACAATACAGTCTTCAGAACAGGAAGCGGAAATGGCAGCCATTACGGCTCTTCATATGTCGGAAATAATTCAGTCGACTACAGACGCTTTCGTGAATGCCACTGGCTCGACAAATACGACTGATGTCGGGACGGAATTTTCCGTCCTACTTCCGGCGTTATGGAGCGTTCTTATCGTCATAGGAACTGTTGGGAATGGACTTGTCATTTACACTGTCGGAAAAAACGGGGAGATGACTGCGACAAATTGTTACGTCCTTAATTTGGCGGTTGCAGACCTGTTGTTCCTGATGATCGTTGTACCATTTACAACCACCGGATTCGCCACGAAAGGCTGGATATTTGGAGACGCCATTTGTAAAATCTACATATATATGATTTATGTAAGTACTGTATTATTTACCACTTTCCTTACTTTGGTTTCCCAGAATCTTGATAAATGCATTTTCAGGAAGAAATTGTTACGATGAATGATTCCTCTATCATGCGAAGTGAATTAACATAAGAAGAATTATGTTCAGAAAGATAAGAAGATAGTTTTGATTTTTTTTGTTATGGAAAATGACGATTGATTTATCAAGGGAGATTATACATGTATAGGGACTGATAAGGCGATATTTAGAGAGAAACTTACTGGTTTTGGCAACGTAAAAGGAATTTACGGAAGAAAACTTATGAAATAAAGTTGGTTTAAATAATGTCTAGATGAAGCTGCAAGGACAGTAAATCAAACGGTTTTAGAATTAACCATGCAGATGGAGGGGTAATTAAAAGCACCTGCTTAAGTAAATGCTAAGGCAGTGAATCACGGCAAATTACATAGGGTGAGATAAGAAGGCAGTATATCGTCAGATATTCAAAAGAAATGATAATGCATTCTAATGCGAGAAAGGCGGTGGTATGTCGATAAAATAATATGAGTCTTTTATGGATATGTGTAACCGGGTTTTCGAAGTAGACTGATGCATTATCTCTATGTAAGCTAAGGTTGCTTAAAGAAGTATATTGATAGCAGCTTATGGTATGAGGTTCAAGGTGGCTCAGTGGCGGGGAAGATTGGTACAAACAACAGGCAAGATGCCTTGAGGAGACTGATAGAGTGATGTGGGGGTGGAAGGGAGATGAGGGGGGGGGGGAGGGGGAGCTGGTTAAGAAAGTAAGGAGGAGAGGGTGGGGCTTGCTTGTATATCGCGGTAGGTTTCTGCAAGAAACAGAGGCTATTTCATGGATGGGAGGTTTGGGGGAGGGGGGAACTGTTTCAGAAAGTACACCGAAGGAGGAGAGGGTGGAGCTGGCTTGTATACCGCGGTAGGTTTCTGCAAGAAACAGAGGCTATTTCATGGGTTTCTGCAAGAAACAGAGGCTATTTCATGGGTGGGAGGTTGGGGGGGGAGAGAGAGAGGGGGGGGGGGGGGGACTGATTCAGAAAGTACACCGAAAGAGGAGAGGGTGGAGCTGGCTTGTATATTGCGGTAGGTTTCTGCAAGAAACAGAGGCTATTAAATGGGATTATTCTGATTCAGAGTCTGTTTAGGCCGTGTATCAGAGACTACCTTGTTAATGCCATACACATAGATTTTTAACAATTTTATAACTTGGTAGACCCATGAGATAACTGGCGAAAGTATTTCGAGACTAACATGTTCTTATCGATGAATTGTTGTAGGCAATATATCACCGGAAAAGTTCAAAATAAAATTAATGCATATTATACCATTGTTTCTTGGCACCAAAACAATTGTAATGAATTACATGATCAGTTTAAAATATTGCGGACTGACGGAGATACCGGATATTTAGATCAAGCTTTGTGTTTGTGAAATAGAGTCGAAACACCTGTTACAAATAAAAGTGGAATTAATCACATCATTTCTGTAATAAAACGTACATTTAATCTAACAATTCGTACTCAAATGCTTTCTGTTATATAAAAAGTCAGGTGTGAAAGCATACCGTATAGACACGGTATACTCGGCCCGTTATTTTTATCGTCTCCAATTTTTTATTTATTTATCTATTTGAAACAAGGGAATGGGATTTTGACATGTGGTATGAATGTTAGAGTATATCTTAATATCGGGAATAAGCCATTAAAAATGAAGATACAATAATTTTATTGCTATTTTATAAGAAAAAAAAAACAGTATTTTTGAACGAGATTCCAAAATAATATTGTGATAATTTGTGCCCAATCCGTTAGCTTGTTTTCTTGACTATAAAATATGTTTAAATCAATGAGATTTCAAAACGATTGGTACAGTGTAACGAATTATCCATTATCACGGACTATTTAACCAATTCAACACAACAGTATAGCTGAAATACCTGTCAATAACAGGTGATGTTTATAAACGAAAGTATACTGTACCCTGAAACGAATAAACGTTATAAAAGACTATCTCATCCGTGTTATACAATTAAGTAATTGTAGACGACTGAGTCAACACATTTACGCCACTCGATGTCACGGATGAAATATACACCAATCTCATTTTTTAAGGATCACGTTTTCAACTCTTTTCAGCCATATTGGTCTCTACAGTTATTACGCATGCGTTATTAGAAACACCGCAAGAACAGTCCGGTTCGGCTGGTGCTTAAACCAACGTCATTGAATATACAGGGAATTGATTTAAGCAATATCCATGAAACTTATACAATTTTTAGCAATAGTCATATTGTTCAACGCAGCACGCATGCGCATCCCTCGGCAAATGTCTGAGGAAGATGACTTAGTACTGCCACTAAAATATCAAAGACTTCTAACAGTGTGTGGTAGTCGATAGTGAATGCGTGAACATAGAAAAGGTTATGTTTAGAAGTATAAAAAGGTGTTCATAACCTAAAATCATCCATGTTTTTTGTCGATAATTTAATTATCATTTTTCGTATATCTAATCTTATGGAACTGTCTTTATAGGAAGGGAGGCAAGTGCGTAGAACCCCATACAAGTTTTTTTGTGGTCAATTGCTGTCTTGTTCTGATGTTGTACATCTTGTAAATCTGAATATAATGATATGTATTCAATAATCAGAATTGTGATAAAATGGATATTTCAACTTTGTTGACAATTTTCGACGTTGATATTTACTATTATTTTCCTTACCCTTAAAGGGTTTCAAACCAACTGTAAAATTTCCTTATTTATAATCGAAAACTTCTATTGCCCAAAACCTATGTTCCGAATTTGTTTTTACATATATAATATTTTTACATGTTGAATGGTGTATGATCGTACACTCTTCACAAACTCCACATTCTTTATACAATAAAAATGTATATCTGTGCGTATCATTTCCAAGCTATGATTCACTCTCAAATTGTCTTGACAATTAACAGAAATTTATAGTTTTATTCATGCCTCGTCTGCTGACAATTGCTCTGGTGGTTTTTTGATATATATATATTTTTTTTTTTGGGGGGGGGGGTGTCTGGTTAATGTTTTACTATATACTTTTTTTCATTTCCCTTTACATAGCATCAGTAGCAACATCAAAGACGTAATTGTAAATGAATTGTAACAGAATAATAAAAATGCAAATTTTTGCCGCGACAAACAGGACAGGAATATAACCTGGGCGTCGGGTATGACAATCTATGACTTAACCAACTGAGTCAATGATGCACGCTAAGTGAAAGAGACGGTATTTAACACCATATACCAGCCACAACGACCTGCTCCTTTTTACTCTATTATACGTCATAATTAACAGAAAGTACACAATTTTTAACAGGTAATCAAATTGATATAATGCTTTTTTTATCATTTATGAAATGAATATCTAACCATTTAGTCCCTTTAAGCGTAAAATTCTTATAACCATGAATTTCTACTTCAGTAAGACCGTGACTTCAGTGAGGTTATAATAAATAAAAAATAATCGTGCACCTGAATGAGGAATGTTAATGGACAAACACCTATATACTTATATTATACTTATATCAAGGCTACTACCAGCTATTGTAATTTGTGTACTTAATTTTGCCCTAAGTATGTACATGTAATTTATTCGCTGTTAGACAACCCAAAGGCATTACAGTAGACAGTGTGTGCTTACAAATGATAATATCATTAAAGAACCGACAGCTTCATATATCATATCTTCGTGTTACAACCTAAGCGAATTACGATTTTATCTTATTTGATCGCAGAACACTGCCAACAACCCCCTAAAGAATATACGCATTTTCTTCCAACAAAAGAAAATCTGTATGCATGAAGTAATTCACGCGAAATCTGTGAAAAGAAATCATCAATATTTTCATTTTTATATTTTAGCCTCTTTCTCTGTTTTCAAGCTCCGACATCTTCAAAAACACTCGCTCCATCGCGAAATTTCTCTGGAACAGAGAACTCAGTGATAGTCAGGAACTTTTCACGAAGTGAGATGTCTGGACATCAAGAGAAATTTCACTGACAGCTGTTTATGACATAACAAACAAGCATTATCGTAAACAATGTTTCCTAACAGAGGACCATGAGCGTACATTTGTTTGGTCCGTCGTTGGAGTCGCACGGTGTCCGGAGATTTCCGTGTGTCTCCCATGATTAATATCGTAGAAAACAGAGAAGGCGCTATGAATGCTGAGCTCATGCATTTTGTATTGGAATTTAAGTTGCGATGTTGTTTGCAGAAAACGTACACTTTACCTCCTATTAGACTAATAGTCCCTGGGCTCGTAATATTTCCCGTAATTTCTATTTTTTTCGTGCTTTGGTATTGATTACTAACTTTCGATTTTATCACGGTAGGTTTACCTTAGAGCTATTTATTCTGTTTTCAATGGTTGTCAATCCGGATGTATACAGCATATTTCATTGTTTATGGTTACCTATTCTTAAGCAAATGATTTATACATGGAAGGTAAACAGACGAACACCTGTTACGATGAAACATTTAAATGATGGGAAAATCGTTTATCATTTTGACAAAATATCATGCCCAGGCACAACTTATGGCGGTTTCATAGTACCCTCAATCGTTAACAAATGTGTTTAAAAGCCTCACAGCATGCTTTGTCATACTTGTTTACACACAGGCAATCTCATTTATCACAAGCTGTGCGTAAAATGTGAAAGGTAGTAGACTGCTTTTGTATGATAATCATGGTTCGTCATTTGATAAGTGTTGGTAGATTTACCATTTTGAAACGGTTATTAGTTATTAACATATAAAAGGCAGAAGTTACTTTCATAAAATATATATCACGTTTTTATATTTGTTGACGCTGGTTAAAAATAAGTCGCACGTTTTCTGACACATGGCCTTAATCATAATATCGAGTGTTTGCTACCATCAACAGACCCTTCTTCAAATACATCCAGACCTTACATAGAAATATCATGACAAATGACGCAAAACTTTTGTTATTAACTGCACC